ACAGAAAGATGTAAATTTGAAAATACCCAGTTAGTGGGAAGGAGGGGTGCCTATTTCCATCCAGGACTTTGTGAGTCAGTAGCATTCGTTCTCTTTTAGTCCAAAAGATGTTTATATAAGACATCGCAGATCTTGCGGTTCGAGGCAGTGGAATAGCGATAGGAACAGTTTTTAATTTTTCTCTTGAGTTTCTTTTTCCCAATGCAAACAAAGAAGTAGCGTGTGAATATCCGGATTTGACCACTGCTGAAATGTTTCTGTTCTTATTGACCGAGGTGACATCGTTGGTTTTGTTTATTGACTTTCAATCGAAATGTGCTGTGTACAGGCTGGTACACTCGAGTTTAACAAAACATGCAAATAGCACTTAATGAAAAATTGGTCAATATTTTTACTGCTAATACCTTCTTTTAACAGCTTCAAGACCTGGCTGACAGTCCAAAAATCCAAAATCCGAAACTTAACACAGCTGAGTGTATTACTAAAGGACATACTCCAGATATATCTAGCGTTACAAAACGTAAAACGTACATTAGAGCGATGTTGTGGAGCTCATTTAGTTTTGCCTTTTTCTTTGGGCCATTATTAGCCCTCAGGAGTTATAATTTTAATTCCATGGCCGAAAACGATAAAACACCGGGAAAAGGGAATAGACCGGAGCTAGCACATGCCGTTAGATATACAATCTTTTTACTAGCAGTCGTGGAGTTTGTACTTTTCATAACTGTCTTTGCAATTGCGGCAGTTTCAGCAGCGCTTCTGGATATATATTTTATCCTTATGGTGATTTTGCTTGAAGCTATGATAACGCCTATGGTATTAAGAAAAAGGTGGTTTAAATTCTTACCTGGAGAAAAGAAATTTGAGAAAGTTGTTGTCTTCGTGTGGGGAAACCTCACGGCGATTCATATTTGCTGGCTGGTTGTCGGAATAATGATTAACACATTATGGGGTTTGATAGTCCTGCTTGTTATTTCCGTAGTTGTTTCTGCTTTTGTGTTTGCAATTTATATCTTTCTATGTTCCACCAAGGCAGTTAGCGAGGAAACTGAAACGGCAGCTATCAAGGCGGATAAGATTAGGTTTGGGTTAATTTGTGTTATTTCATTAGTTTCCCTCATGTCGCTTATAGTTGTCGTAATTTTATCAGGGCAGGCCTTTCTTGGCAGAGATTCTGCAAATGAGTTAATGAAAACAGCTCTGCTGTACGTTACCACCGCTTTTATTTCCTGGATTGCCCGTAAGGTTAAGGAAGAAGGAGACAAGACTNCCATGGAAATTTCAAAGTCATTCTAAGTTGCTTGACAGTTTGGTATACCAAGTGGTTATTGAAAAACCTACCTCCTACCAACCTAACTAATGAATATGTATGGCCCAGGTGAGGGAGCTGCTGACATAAACCCTAACGTCTTGATTATAATTGTGAAGCTTACAATTGAAGATCAGCGTCAACCCCGGACAAAACTGTTGAGACTGTAATTTTTAATTTCCCGCCATACAACAAACGTTTCCAAAAGGAACAAACTTGCCCCCCTCCCCACCCCTGGTACAATGTTGTTG